TGGATAAGTACATGAAAAGGAAAGGTTTGGAGGGATTTGGCCCAGGAGCAGGCAGGTGGGACTAGTTTGGTTTGGAATTATATTTGGCATGGACTGGTTGGACAGAAGGATCTGTTTCCATGCTGTATGACTCTATGAGAGTCAGAAGAGTCAGTGGTAAGTTGGGGGTACAGTTTGATAAGTTACTCAGGATCTAGAGCAGGTTTTAATGCTGTAACTATCCAGGTGGCTAATAAGCTTAACTGAGTTTGGAACACTCTGAAATGGGCACTTTCTCACAGAGTTCCTGATACAGGTAATTTTCCCAAACAAATCTCAACAGTCCAGGCAACTCCCACATCGTCAGCTACATTGGGATTTCCACATAGTGCTGACATGTAAATCCAATCCAGCTGATGCTGGAGTCTGAGATAACAAGGTGTAGAGCTGGATGAACACAGCACGCCAGGCAGCATCAGAGGAGCAGGAAAGCTGATGTTGCGGGTCTGGACCCATCTTCAGCTTTCCTGCTCCTTTGATGCTGCCTGTAAAAGCATGTAGTTTTTATTTCCAAGACTGGGCCTTGCCCAAACGGATTGGTTGCCTGGGAATAAAGCATCTATTTTTGTCATAATAAGAACCTGATTGTTAAAATGTTTGCTCTGAGTACATGTAATTCCTTTTCCATTAACTGATGATCTTTTTGTTAAGAAGATGGTCATAAGACACGGCTTGCAAAAAGTAATGCACAATTCAGCAACACAAGGCATAGCCACACTTAAAGGTATCCTTCACTTTTAACAGCCTGATACTGACATTGCATCTGCGCATATGTAGGAAGTGCTCCCCTCTTTCTGTGGCACAAATAAATGCAGTCATGAAGGAAATACTCATGCTTTGTTTTGATTATTTCTATGAAACAATTATCCAAAGGGTACCTAGATCCAAATGAGTCCAAGGCACTTTCAATGAAATATCTCAGGGAAAGCATTCCTGGAAAGGAATCCATCCCAGAAATAAATTACTGAACAACAAACTGAAAGTTGCTTTGAGGAATTAAAGGTAACCAGACCTCAACATGTAGAAATGGTGACAATTGATTATAAATGCATTCAGTCAGGTTGGGTGAAAAAGCTTCTCAATCATCGATTATCTATTGCATTAACCAAAACTGATACCGTGCCAGTATTGCATAGTATGGTGGCACATTGGTTACCACTGCTGTCTCACAGCACCAGGGATCTGGGTTCAATCCCAGCCTCGGGCAACTGTCTGTTTGGAGTTTCTCCCTGTGTCTCCGTGGGTTTCCTCTGGGTGTTCTGGTTCCTTCCCACAGTCCAAAGCTGTGCAGGTTAGGTGGATTGGCCATGCTAAATTGCTAGTGTTCAGGGATGTGTGGATTAGCCATGGGAAATGTAGGGTTATAGTATAGGGGGATGAGTCTGGGTGGGATGCTCCTCAGAGAGTCAGTGCAGACCTGTTGGGCTGAACAGCCTGTTTCTACACTGTGGGGATTCTTATATGTATTATCAGTGATAACTAATTGGAGCTCTTTGGTTAACGGCATTTGGAAACATTACTTTAAATAACATGATGAACATTGACTTAACTGTTCTTTTGGGCATATATTGTGAGCTCAAACACAAATTTGTGAAATCATTCTTCACAGTCGGGCAAGAATTGTACAAAAACTTGTGATCAGACTGTATAAAATGCACGGGGTAATAACACCACCGAAAGATTTTGAAGTGCGTATACTGGTGGTGTATTATAAAACCACATGACAGCTGGGAAACATTCTGAATTTTTTTAATTGGGGTTGCTTGCTTTGCATCTAGTCACATTTATGTTTACATATAACTGAAACAAACATAGCTTGTGTCTCTTACTTGAAAACAACAGTTTGGAGTTTTTTGAAGTTTGGTTGTCCAATGCTGTCTGGTGCCAACACTTCAGGCATTAGGAAAGAAGCAAAATTTCAGACTGACAAATTATGTACATGTTTAAGCTTTTTGTATCTAATGTACTCCTGGCAGAAGCTGGAAATGATGTTTTTTTCCCCTTACATTCTGAAGTCATGACTTCTCACTGTGGTATGTATCCTTGGAAGTTGACAGCTCTCTAACACTCCATTCTAGAACTCATTCTTCATTACATGGGCCTAAAGAGGAAATTTTACAAGGGCCAGAAAGTTGTTCAATTAAAAGGAACAGAAACCTGAGGAAAAGCAAAGTACCACAGAACGCTGAAAATCTGGAATTTTCCCCCAATATCTGAGGAAAGACATATGGTCATTGGAGAGATTCCAGAGACGAAGTATTCCTAAGTATGAAGGGATTTTATGAGAAGAGGTTGCGATGGTACTGATTGGAGTTTAGAAGAATGAGAGGTGATCTTATTGAAATGTACGAGATACTTATGGGGCTTGACAAGGTAGATGGAGAAACGTTGTTTCCCCTTATCAGTGTGTCTAGGACCAGAGGGCATAATCTCAGAGTAAGGGGTCACCCATTTAGGACAGATGAGGAGGGTAGTGAAGCTGTGGAATTCATTACCACAGAGGCTGGTTCATTAAGTATATTCAAGGCTGTGATAGACCAATCTTTTATTCAGTAAGGGAATCATGCCTTATGGAGATAAGTCAAGAATGTGGAATTGTGGATTATCAGATCAGCCATGCTCTGACTGAATGGTGAAGACTTGATGGGCTGAATGGCCTACTATTGCTCCTGCATCTTGCAGTCTTATCATCTGAGAAAAGAGAAACAGAGGTCTGGTCCCTCCCCATAAATGCTGCCAGACCTGCTGAGTAATTCCAGCATTTCATGTTTTTATTCCTGGCAATACTTACTTTGGTATTATCATCGGGTAACAAATCAAACCCCGGAAGTGTGTCTAGATTTTTTTTAAATGCACTCATCCCTTGACCTCTCCTGGTGCCATGATAGGACTCCCTTCATCATCCCACCAGCCTTATACTCAACAACTCACTCTCCAGCATTTCTTCAACCTCCAAGCACATCTTCCACTCCCTTTCAGCATTCCACAAGTACTTTTGCCTCCACGACAACCTGATTTGCTCCACAAATCACCCCTATAGTTCCCTTGTCGCAGGCATTTTTCCAGGTGAGCACAAGATATATGACAACTGTCACTTTTACTTCCTCTCTCCTCACCATACATGGCCTCAACTACTGCTTCCAGGAGAATCTGCAATTTACGTGTATACCTTTCAATTCAGTATACTGTTTTCAGTGCTCACATTGCAGTTTGATCTACACAGGGAAGACTAAACTCTGTATGGGTGACTGTTTTGCAGGGACCTTCATACAGTTTGTAAGCGTAACCCAGAGCTTCCAGTGACTTCCTGCTCCTTTTATTCTCCATCGTCTTCCCACACTGACCTCGCCATCCTTGGCCTACTACATTTTCCAGTGAGTCTCAGTATCAGCTTGAGGAACGGCACTCTGCATTGGTTGGCACTTTACAGCCTCCCAGGCTTAATATTGATTTCAACAATTTCAGTTTGTGTTAAAATGTAGAAAAGGATGGTTCTCTACTATCGAAAGAAAACAATGCACTAACCCTTCTGATCAAGAAAAGAGGGGAAAAATGTCATTTCACTGCATCTCTGATTAGAATATTCTTTAAAACAATATCCAATCAGTTCAAAGACCCCTCTCTATATTGGACTAACAGCAACTTTTGAATGCTTTGGTTTAAATTCAATTTAACATCATTGTGGTTCCAGTCGGAATGGTTTACATTAAAGGCTGGGCTCCAAGACCTAGGAGAAGAACATCACCATTTCGCCCATGAAATTTACTCTGCCATTCAATGTGACCAATAATTCTCAACTCCATTTTTCTGCCTTATCTCTATATCCCTTGATCCCTTACTGATTAAAAATGTGTCTATGTCAGCTTTGAAAATACTTAATAACCCGGCCTTTACAGCCTTCTGGGGTAAAGAGTTCCACTTTCTTCTCATCTCTGTTTTAAGTGGATGATCCTTTGCACTGAGATTATGCCTTCTGATTTTAGGCTTTCCCACTTGGGGAAACAACCTCTCTGCATCTACCCTGTCAAGCCCCCTAAGAATTCTATATATTTCAATAAGGTCACATCTTATTCTTCTAAATTCCAATGAGAACGGGATCAACTGGCTCAAGTTCTCATAAGAAAAATCACTCTATACTCAGGATCAACCTAGCGTACTTTCTCTGGACTACCTCCAAAACCTCAGCTTTCTATATATAAGGTGACTAAAACCATTCCTGTATTCTAGGTGTGGTCTGATTAGTGCCTTGTATAGTTTTAATAAGAATTCACTGTTTTTATACGCCATTCGCCTTCCTTATTTGCTGCTGAACTTAGATCCTAGCTTGTGATTCACGAACGAGGATTCCCAAATCCCTTTGCTCCATAGTTTTCTGCAGTCATCTCCATTTAAATAATTTTCAGCTCCTCTATTCTTCCTGCCAACGTGCATAATCTCATATTTTCGCACATTATATTCTACCTCCCAGGCTTTTGCACACTCACTTAACCTGTCTGTATCCCTCTGCAGACCCCCATCATCCTCACTACTTGCCTTGCAAACAACTTTTGGTGTCATCTACAAACTTGGTGATATTCACTTTCTGCACCTAAGTCATTCATTTGTACCACAGATAACTTGCATTTGGAGATTAGAAAATATGAACACTGAAGCTTTCTTTCCATGGTATAAGTTTGCAGGCTCAGGATAAACTGATCGAGTGAGGTCATAATGTGATGAAGGGATCATTTAGGAGGGTATTTTCACTGAATCTAATTTGAGTGGACTTGGAACCCATGATTTTCTGATTATACTGATTGCTTAGATAAAGGAAAGAAAAAGTATTCCCTGTTATAATGTGAGACAATTTCTGGTTAAACCTGAGTCTCGCTCAGATTATGAGCAGCAGTATAATTACCTTTTATGCTAGAAGCACTTTTGCTCTGAAAATAAAATGAAATCAGACACTTGCCATGTAAAGGTACGTAAATTAGTGTAGAATTTAATTAAGCACTTTTATGGAAAATGAGTCACCACAAATGTGACTCAAAAAATCTCATTTCACACATTGCATATTCACAAATGACAGGGTACAAAGAAAAAAAACAGTCATATCACAAAATTAGGAATGCACTTCAGAACTGGGAAATTTTCAGTACAGATCAATGAAACATAGTACAAAAATCTACAGTAAATTGTATTTGAATGAATGTCTGTACATCCAGGACAAAGCAGAAGTGCAGGACAGAGAAAAAGGTTAAATAGCAAAAAGCTATAGGTTATTACAAAATATATATTCAGTCCTGCTGCGATTCCATGTTCAAATTCCCTTCATGACCATTGTATAAAATTCAAGTAATGAACTGTGTACAATTAAGTAACCCAATCTGCATTGCTGGATCAAACCTGCATCTCGATCCTCCATCTATACCCAAGAAGTCCAGCCAAACCTTCACTGGAGAGGATTAGAAGGTGCCGCTGTCAATTGAGTATCACATATGTAGGGAATTCTCTCCCAGTTTGTGCATTTAATCGTTCATGTCCTTCACCCACAAATAGATGAATCAGCTTCCGTATAAAAACAGGTGATCATCCACATTCCTGATAGCCAGCCTTAAGGTAGCTCGCGAGCAGCAGTTTAATATTACATTGCTCCCCCACCCACCCTCCCGCGTTTCCCTTAGTGACTAAAGCAAACAAACGTGCGTAGTTTTAGTTTGTCCTGTGGATCTCCATAGTCTGAAAGCCATTCTCCCAAATGTTGAAAGAGTGGAATTGACATGTGCAATACACACCTCTTCATCTGTAAGATACCACTGGACTCACACAGCTGACTGGTCCCAGGTCTGGTCAACATAAACAGATTAGTGTTAGTACCTTGTACTATTTAAGTACACCTCTAAGTATTGGATCTGAACTTACAATCAACAGCACAGAAGATACCTTGGTAACTGGGGCCCTTGACGATCCTGCAGGTAAACGGATACCAGCCCCTCTGTTTTCATCCAACATTCTTCCTGGCGACCTCTCCCTACTAGGGTCCAAAGGTCTGCCTGGAGATTTCTCCCTCTCCAAGCCCCTTCGTGGTGATTTGTCTCTTCTCACCTCCTGTCTACCTTCTCTGTACCTGACAGATCTGTTCAAATCCTGAGGTGAACTTTCTCTGGGGCCAGGTGCCAGTTTCTTTGACATGTGCTCATTGTAGGAGGGAAGACCCCGCTTGTTAGGGCTGCTACTGGTCAGAGAGGGAGAAAGGATTCTGGTCAGGAAACAAAAATTTCAATAACATGAAAGTCAATACATCAACACAGGGCATCAGTAGGTTCAGGTTTTCAAACTGATTCAATGATTACTGAAGGAAATAAGTGCTAGCTTGGTCCTGAAGTAAACAACCTTTCTTCATGCACAAAAAAGAATTGATAACTGGACAGAAAATAAATGTGACTGTTCTGGACAGAAATCATCATCATTACTCTCTGAGGAAGTTGTTTGTACTGGATGATCAGCCCTTTCTGGGGTTCTAGTTGATAAGAATATTCACTTGTGGGAGGTGGGCAATGCTGGCTGGGCCTATGCCTATGCCTAATTGCCCTTGAGAAGGTGGTGGTGAGCTGCCTTCTTTAACCACTGCAGAACACGTGCTGTGGGTTGACCCACAATGCCATTAGAGAGGGAATTCCAGGATTCCAGTGACAGTAGAGGAAAAGTAACATGTTTCCAAGTCAGGATGGTGAGTGGCTTGGAAGGAAACTTGCAGGCTGCGGTATTCCCATGTATCTGCTGCCCTTGTTCTTCTAGATGGGAGTGGTCATGGGTTTAGAGGGTGCTGTCTAAGAATGTTTGGTGAACTGCTGTAGATAGTACACACTGCTGCTACTGAATGTCAGTGGCGCAGGAAGTGGATGTGATGTCAATTAAATAGACTGCTCTGTCCTGGATGGTGTCCAGCTTCTCGCGTATTGTTGGAACTGCCCTCATCCAGACAAGCGGGGAGTCAGGAAGTGAGCTAGTTGCCGCAGTATTCCTAGCCTCTGACCTGCCCTTGCAATCATTGCATTTATGTGGCATGCCCAATTCTGTTTCTAGTCAATGGTCACCCCCAAGATGTTGATAGCAGGGGTTTCAGTGATGGTAGCACCATTGAATGACATGGGGTAGTGATCAGATTGTCTCTTATTGGTGATGGTCATTGCTTGGCATTTGTGAGGCATGAATGTTACTTGCCATTTCTCAGCCCAAGCCTGGATATTATCCAGATCTTGCTAAATATGGACTGCTTCAGTGTCAGAGGATTCTCAAATGTTGCTGAATATTGTGCAATCAACAAAAATCCTGACTTCTGACCTTATGATGGGGGGGGAGGGGGGAGAAGGTCATTGATGAACCAGCTGAAGATGGTTGGGCCTAGGACACTACCCTGAAGACCTCCTGCAGAGACATCTTAGAGTCGCTAAGGGTAGTGTCCTAGGCCCAAGAGCTATGAGTTGCTAGATCTGTTTGAAGTCTGTCTCATTTAGCACATGATGTGGAGGTGCCGGTGTTGGACTGGGGTGGACAAAGTCAAAAATAACACGACACCTGAAGGGGCTGCACTCCAAAAAGCCTGTGATTTCAAATAAACTTGTAGGACAATAGGCTGGTGTCGTGTGATTTTTGACTTAATTTAGCACATTGATAGTGCCACACAACACGTTGGAGTCTATTCTCAATGTGAAAGTGGGACTGTCGCCACAATGTCTGTGATGGTCCCTTACTGTTACTGTCATGGACAGATGCAGCTGCAGCTTGCAGATTGGTAAGAATGTTTTTTTCTTCTTGTTGGTTCCCTCACCACCTGCCAAAGATCCAGTCTAGCAGCTATGTTCTTTAGGACCCACCCAGCTTGATCTGTAGTGCTGCTGCCGAGCCACTCTTGGTGGTGGACATTATAATTCCCCTATCCAGAGTACATTTTGCACCTGTGCCACCCTCAGTGCTTCCTACACGTGTGGATCAATTTGGAGGAGTACTGATTCATCAGCCAAGGGAGGACAGTACGTTGTAATCAGGTTTCCTTGCCCATGTTAAACCTGGCGCCATGAGAGTTCACGGGGTCCACAGTCAATGTTGAGGATTCCCAAAGCAACTCCCACCCGACTGTATACCACTATGTCACTACCTTTGCTGGGTCTGTCCTGCTGGTGGGTCAGGACATATCCAGGGATGGTGATGGTGGTGTTTGGGACATTACCTTAAAGGTCTGATTCCCTGAGTATGACTATATCAGGCTGTCGCTTGACTAGTCTGTAAGCCAGCTCTCCCAATTTTCGCACTAACCCCCAGATGTTAGTAAGGAAGACTTTGCAGAATTGACAGGGTTGTTTCTGCCATTGTTTTTAGGTGCCTAGGTCGATGTCCAAGGGTCTGGCTGGTTTCATTCTTTGTTGAGACTTTGTAGCGCTTGATAGAACTGAGCGGCTCAGAGAGCATTTGAGAGCCAATCAAATTGCTATAGCTCGGGAGTGACATGCAGGACAGACCAGGTGAAGTTGGCAGATTTCCTTTCCTGATGGATGTAAGTGAAACATATGGATTTTTCCTGATAATTGACAATTGTTTCATTGTCATCTACAGTTTCTTAATTCCAGACATTTTGTATTGAATTCAAATTCTGCCATGATGCAATTTGAACCCAGGTCGCCAGAACATTAGCTGACTTGCTGGATTAATTGTCTAGTAATAATAGCACTAGCCATTGCATTCTAATAATTTCTAGAATTTTATCCAAGTATCCCCTTACTGAAATATCAAAATTTGTGTATAAGTCAACCTCTTATAAAGGCATTAATAGTGAAATGGTGGGCAAAGGAAGGTTACAGCCAATTCATGACCAAAAAGGAGATCCATCTTGGGGAGTCAGTAGGTACCAAATGAGAACTTTGTATATATCAGCACTGGAGAAAAGATGCTGCCAATGTACCAATAGAGGAGGTGGTAGGGCTAATATGGGTCAAAAGAAGATATTTAGAAGGTTAGAAATCAAAATAAAGAAGTCAACACAGTCTAAACTGGATGCATGCTAACTTGAGGAAAGTAAGTGTGGAAATGTTCTTCCTTGGGAGTAGTGATAGAAGACTGTAAAATAATTCACCACCATTTAAAATAAGAAAGAGATAAATCCAGCAATTATAACTAGGCAGCCTAAAGTCAATGGTGGGGACATTTTCCAAGTCTACATGAAACAGGAATGGGGGAGAGGTGGGGGAGAGGTGGGGGAGGGGGAGGGGGAGGGGGAGGGGTCAGTAGTAAATTTGTGTGAGTGCTATGAGGCAGATATATCCCAACATGTTCCTGCCTAGTCCTGCTTTTCTCACCATTAGGATTCATGTGTAGAAAAAAACCTGCACATCAGGAGTGGGAAGCCCATTTATGAAGGGATATAAACCTGACATTTTTAGAAGCCGATAGGAGCTTTCCAGAAGCATGGGCAACTCCCACTGTTTCTGAAGCTTGCATACTTGCAGGCGGAGACAGAATGGGAAGTTGCATGAAATACATATGCAGCGGTCACTTTAGAAGAAAAAATTGGAAGTTCCCAGGACATCTGTAGGTAAATACTGATTGTTTGCTTGTCAATACAGGCCCACCGGACAATGCAGGACATGGGAAAATGGCTGCTGGTACCATCAGCAGTGAGGTGTCTCCATCTTGTGCCACCCTCTCCATTTAATTCGGAGCCCACAGTGTGATTCAGCTAGCCACCTGTTAGTTTTGACACTGTCTCTTCTCAGACCATCTGGCATTCCTGGCAGTCTCAAAGGCAGATTTTAGTTGGCCTCTTCCGGAATGATCATGCCTGAAATCATATGAATGATATGTCTGGGCACACGATCTGGAAATTAGCTTGATATTGACAGTGATTAAAAACAGAAAATTTAGCCTTTTGAGATAATAGTTTTACCCCAGGTTAATTGGCATTTGAAAAAGTATGAGCTAATAAATGAAAGTCAGCATAGATTTGTTAAGGCAGGTTGTTTTCCATTAACCTGATAGCAACTTCCTCTTACTTAACTGAAAAACGCAAAAGATAGTGTAGCTGATATTGTGTACATACTTTCAAAAGTTATTTGACGAAATCCCATATAATAAAAATGTTTGCAAAATTAAAACCTATTGGATTAAAGGGGTAGCAGCATCATGGATACAAAATTGGCTAAGGGGCAAAAATCAGAGAGTAATGGTGAATGACTGTTTATCAGTTTTTGGACAGAGGTACACAGGATTGATACCAAAAATTGATGTTATAACCACTGATCTTTCATTAACAACCTGGACTTCGGTATACAAGACATCATTTCAAGTTCGCAGATAATATGAAATTCAGAAATGTAGTGAACAATGTGGAGGATTGAAACAGAAGAACATAAATTTTTTTCCGATTAGGCATCACTATAATGCCTTACAAGTTCTCACGACATTTTGCATCCAAGCAGAATGCAGTTATATTTCAAATGGTACTGGTTTAAGAGTCAGGCTATTTGTTCAACCCACAGGTATGGGAGAATGCAAGATGATGTTCTAGAAGGTAAAAGTTGGAATCCCGACAACAATATTAACTAATTCACTTTCTGTATTGTCTTCCTCATTTTTTGAATGAAGCTTCGCTTTTTATTCTCCTAATTCCTAAATGAGGCATGGAAATTGCTGAGTGGAGTAGGTTATTAAGTTAACAACATGTTAATTTGCACTGATGCACCTCATTATTGGTTCATCAGAATGCTTAAAATCACTTTATAATGATAGGCCAGTTTCTGGAGTGGGATAATGTAGCTTTGTTGGTAAATACAGCAGCAAAACTGCACCTGCAAAACACTACCTGCAGCACGAGACAAAACAACCGGTTAATATGCTGGTCACTGTTGAACAACAAATTTTGGTCGGGATATCACACAAATTCCCTGCTCCTTTTTGGAAGTCCTACTGGATTTTTGTACAACAATCTACCTGAGACGATATTTTATCTGAAAGAGAATCCCACTAATCCCAAACTCTGCTCAGTTTACACATGGAGTAAAGTGATGTGTTTATACTTATTCATAAAATAAAGAAAACATTATAGAAAAAGAAATCTAGCATTATTTTCAACAGGAATAACGCTGAAAAAGAAGGCTTTGATTTAATGGCAGTATTTCTGCTTCAAAGGCAGAAGTTGAACTCATCACCAATTAGTCCTGGCAAATGGAAACATCAACTCCAGCCCTGAATTTGTGTCTGATGGGATGGGGGTGGGTATGGTTGCCTATATTATAAAGACTGTTTGAAACCATAAAACCATCCTGCAAATGAACAATCCTATTGTCTGATATAAAGATGGGACATTCAGCGTGCTTAAACAACGTTGACAGCATTCATACCATAGCTTATCAGACTGTTAATCAGCCTGTGCATCCTGCAACAGATTGGATTGTTTATTTGTAGAACATCGTGAAGATACAAAAACAACCTCTTGTACAGACTTCCTCTCTTGTTCCCTTCCTAGGATGATGAGAGTAATTCAGTACTTTATTAAAAATGGCTTCATACAGCAACTTTCACATTCTCAGGTCATCCCAAAGCACTTTACAGCTAATTAATTGCTGCAAATTGCAGTTACTGTTGTTTTGTAAGAAGGTGAATTTTTTTGAAGAGCAAGTTTAGTATATTTTGATACTGGTGGTTAAGGAATGGATGTATGACCGGGGCACTAGGAGAACTTCCTATTAAGGGTCATGTGATTTCCCCCCCCCACAATCATTTGAAGGGAGCGGTCTTCATTTTAACATCTCACCGAAAAAACAGTATAACTCCCTATGTAGAGCTGCTCAGTGCTGCACTGCAATAAATGACCCTAGATTACATTTGAGGAGACCTTGTAATGTGGTGGGTAGAGTTGCCATGTCTGAGCCAGGATTTCTTGGTTTGAGTCCCACTTTGGAACTTGATGGGTGTGGAAGGTGTGCTCGCAGCATGGCCAAATAGTTTGATCATCAACCTGCAAAATCCTATCAACACATCTATAACAAGAGGTAAGAGCAATACAATCGCTTGATCAGGCAGAAGCCACATGCTGCGCTCCAGGCACCAAAAACTCCCCATATGCATGATCTTGCCACAGGCTCTGCTTCACTGCAGGCATCTTTCTCACTTTGAGGGACTGTTAGATGAAGATTGTGTTTAAATCCTGGAGAAAGACCTGAACCCACCACCATCTCATTCAGATGATAGGCAAAATGTCTCTCCTTGTGACACAAACGTAGCCATCTAATGATGATAAGTTTGGTATGGGGGCAAAAAGCTTCTTAAAAAAAAAACACACAAAGTTCCTATTGTGCTGTTAGCCATAACTAACTAACAAACTAAATGAAGCATTATGGAGTAAGCATTGGTGTTAAAATACTTCCAAAGACAGGAGAATTAACAGTGATGTGCACAAGATGACTGTAGACAGTGCAGGCACAACTGAAGTCACATAGATTACAAGTGAAAGTTTTGACACAAACAAGCAGTTAGTGGCTGCTCACTCACGTCATGTTTGCTGTTGGTGAAACAGGGTCCATGTTGTGGGAAGGAGACCTAAAAAAGAGAATATGCACTGCACATACCTCAGTTACTGTTGCAATCATTAGAGATAGAGAACATGCTTTATGCAGTTTTATCATAATTGGTGAACCCCATTCAAATAACTTTGGTCTAGGAATTGACGACACAGCTTGAGACAGAATGCCATCTATAAAGTACCGGCATTAAGAAAGATAACAAACCCAGCAATTGTACCATAAATCAGGATTCATTAACCCTTTAAATCCAGAAGCACATTTTAAGTGGCTCATTGTCAATGCTTACTTTATAAAGCTTTTGTAAAGAACCTATTGAGCTTTTATTAAATAATAGCACTACACGTATATGAATAAATGTTATGTTTTTAGCGTCAATTCTACATAAACCTGAAACCATGAAGGTAGTAAAAAAACAGGTTAGAATGATATTATTTACATCAAAACTAGAACTACTGGCAGAAAGTTAGAGAAACATCACCATCACCTTCAAAATTTAACTTTTAAATTTTTTTTCCACTTCTTCAACCCATTGAATTTTCCTTCCTTTCCATTCAAATTATTTTTCCTTTGTCTTTTGGAGCCTGGCTATCGCATTTTGTTACAGTGCTGTAGTAATTAATGATTACCACTGAGTGGGACTTACATGCAAATTAGGTTAAACTCTTCACAAGGATGGAGGAGTTACTCGACTAAAACTCACACCAAGCTGAGCACCAGATGTCCCGTTCCCCTTGGGAGTTGGTAGAATTGATCGCAACACAGGTCTTCCGCCAATGTGTGCCACTCTTTCGCTTTGGCATTTTGCTGAGCTGGCCTGAATCAAACTGTTCAATTGTGGTCCTGTACGAACTACAGTGATAACCAGGCCAGTGTAGCCTCAGTGAGATGCACTTGGTTCAAATGTCATACCACCAAAGTACTGCTTTGTGACAGATATGCCATGCATTTTCACTATCCAAGTTGTAGAGAAACCGAAAAGTTACGGAAACACAACAGGCCTGTCCACCTTTGTAAAGATTAAAGCCATCGTTTAATGTCCATTTTTAAAGGAGGTAAATTATTGCCAACAGTTGAATTAATAGCTATTTTGTAAATCATGTGTTCGGGAGAAGAGCCTATCATGGAAATTTTTTTTAAACTAAATTGGAAAGAAGCATGTTAAATTAAAGACAAACCCTTTGCCAGAAGGAATACATCGAAGCATGTTCAGAATTAGTATGAGAATTTGTGGGACACTGTTACAGTTTTGCAGAAACTCTCCTGTACTTAGGGCAAAAACGTGAAGATAATGCAGGCTTGGAGAAACTCATTGGACCTGACGGCAGAGGGACAGAAATACAGATTGTAAGTTTCTCTCTACGACAGACTCGGGGGCAACTTAATTGAGGTTTACAGTCGTCATGAAAGAGTAAATTGTTTTCCTGAATTAAATAATTTATGGAGCATCAAGAGTTGGATGCTTTTCCATAAAGACAAGTGGATTTGTGGAATAGGCTGCTGTCTCTTGTGATGAACACAAGGTTTGCTGAATTCTTTCAAGTAAAATCTGGGCCTGTATCTAACTGGGACAGAGATCACCTCATACAAATGGTAGACATTGCATAACATTAATCAGGACCAGAGTGCACTGGGGTAGTTTTGATCATCAGAAGACAGTGAGGCAGGTATTTTCCAGGTTATTTTCCTAAATTGACCTGGGTTTTTCACCTTTCTCATGAGATCCCAAGGTTTTCAGGTGAGCTGAGGAGGGTATAGATTGGAATGTAACAAGGAATCATAGTTGTGTAGGACAGGCTGGATGGGCGGGTGGATCTCTTCTGGTACATCATGATCTTTCTTTTTATGGTTTTACTAAATTATGATTGAGATTATGGGAATTTCTTCTCTCCAGGGTAGTGAACCTATGGAATTCTCTACTGCAGACAGCTGTCAAGGCTGGGTCATTAATATTTTCAAGACTGAGAAAGACAGATTTTTAATTGGTAAGGGAATCAAGGGTTATGGAGAAAAAGCAGGAAAGTGAAGCTGAAGATTATGTTTAGCCACGATCTCATTGAACAGTGGAGTAGACTCGAAGGGCCGAATGACCTACTCCTGCTCCTACATCTTATGGTTTTAGGAGGAAAACTTTGGGAGCTGCTCCAGTGCTTAGAGGCTAGGCAGCTAAAGGTATAGGCAATGCTAAAGGGTACATGAACCAAAATCCTGGAACTCTCTCCCAAACAGCATTATGCCACCACACAGATAGCAACAATTTGAGAAAGCCAAAATCAGGGATGCTCAAGAGGACAGAATTAGAGGAACATCTATCTCAGGAGGCTTATGGAGCTTGAGGATATTACAGTAATAAGGAGGGATGAGGCAATGCAGGAATTTGAAAACTTAACGGGAATTTTAAAACTGCAGCATTGTCAGACTAGTAGCCAATGTACGTCAGTGAGCACGTGGTTAAAGGTGAATGGAATTTGATAATAGTCTTAGAGTCATCCAGCATGGAAACAGATCCGGCCGTCCAGCTTGTCCATGCCAACCAGGTGTCCCAAACTTAACTAGTCCCATTTGCCTGCGTTTGGTCCATAGAGACGTGGGACATTGGCAGTAGAGTGTTGGATCACTTCAGTTCATGGCAAGTAGAACATGGAATTCCAGCCAAGTGGAATGTATTGGAATAGTTACTCTTTGAGATATCAAAGGCATGGTTAAGGGTTTCAGGAGTAGAAGACCTATGAGTGATAAGGGTGATATCATGGAGGTTAAAATAGATGGTCTTGTCAATGGCACGAGGGTGTGATTGGAAGCTTATCTTTTGATTTAAGTAAGACAACAAGGTTGTTAACTCCAGTGAATTTGGATCAGCCTTAAATAGTTGCTGGATGGAAGGATGAAGTTGGCGGTAATGGGGTTGGGGTATTTGTGGCAGGAACGTGGTATTTCGAAGATGTCAAGGGGCAATATAAACATGAGAAACAGATGGGGGTCAAGGATAGATCCTTGACAGGAGTGATAATTGTACAGAAATTGGAAGAAAAGCCGTTCTAGACAAGCTTCTGTTTATGAATAGTCAGATAAGAAAGAGTGCAATCCAACTCAACAGAACAACAATGGAGAGGTGACAAAGGAGAATGGTGTAGTCAACCATATCTCAAACGCTACAGACACATCAAGAAAAATGAAGATAGATAATTTACCTTCACAACAGTCACACAGGATGTCATTTGTAACTTTGATAAAAGCTGTTTCGATACTGTGACAGGAATAGAAACTCAATTGGAGGGTTTCAAATATGGAATTCTAGGGAAAATGGGCATGGTTTTGGGAAGTGGCAACACATTCAAGGACTTTAGAGAAGAAAGGGAAGTTGGAGATGGTTTTTTTTTAAACTACATATCATTAGGGACATATGCACTTTAGAAAGAGTTCAAGGAAGAATAAGACTAAATTCAAATGTTTCAGAACTAAGTTATCATCAAGAAGATTTGAAAAGCTTAAGCACTACACAGTCTAGAGAGAAGATCAAGGGAAGTGGCTTGCAGAAGCATAGGATATACTACATAATATGAATGTTGCTTTGAACAAAGACAAACCAGTTTTAAAAAGAACTGAACAGGTCCTTTCTTAGTCAAAGAGAGCAGTGTATGTTATGTGTGGAGCCGCATGCGTATGTGTCTGTGTTGAGAGAGATTTTAGGGAGGTTATGGGCAGGGAGGAGGATGTGGGAGAAGAATTCAAGATAAAAGGTGGACTGAGCTAGGTCAGCTGAAATAGAACTGGACATTTTGCCATCAAGCCTAATGTTATTTTCCCTTTTATTTCCCAATTGATGAAGTTCTTCATTTTTCCTACAGCATCTCGGATTTGCACAACATAAACATAATTAGTGGGAAGAAAACAACAATAGGATAGGTTATTATATAAGCCTAAAAATAACTTAGGAGTATTCATTTTAAATTAAGAGAGTTCAAGTTTCAGTGTAAACTTGGAGCGCCGCATGTTAAGCAAGAGTTGCTTTGTAATGTCTTATTTACCTGCGGCTGTTGATTGCACCCTGTTGATCATTGCTTGATTCTTTCACTAAGTTTCCTTTACAACAGATAATTCGCTGTTTATTTTGATAGGATGAGGCCATGTAAATGGCTCCAGGTGTAATTGCAGGGCCGAGATATCTGGGGTTCGGGATGTCCAAATGAGCACGACTTGGAACGCTATAAAAACAAAATAAGTGCATCGTTACCTTCCAGCACTTGGTTACTTTCTTACAATTGTGCAAAGAGAATCATAGAATCCTTATATATTGTGGAAGCAGGCCATTTGGCCCATTGAGTCCACACTGACCCTGTGAAGAGCATCCTGCTCAGATCCACCCCATCCCTGTAGTCCTGCATTTCCCATTGCTAATCCACCTAGCCTGCACATCTTCAGACTGTGGGAGGAAACCTATGCAGACACAGGGCAAGTGTGCAAACTCCACACAGCCAGACAGTCGCCCGAGGTGGAATTGAACCCGGGTCTCTGGCACTGTGAGCCAGTAGTGCTAACCACTGTGCTGCCATTTATTGTCACAGAGGTCCTGCCAGGATACCAGCTTTCAATCAGTGTAAACAACTATTCTGATTACACAAGGCTCAGAACAGCAATCAGGTACAAAAACTTTGCTTGCCCCAATTCCCAACTACTTTTCAAAAAACCGAAAGAACTGCAGATGCTGGAAGTCAGAAACTGCTGGAAAATCTCAGCAGGCCTGGCAGCGTCAGTGGAGAGAATCCGTGACCCTTCTTCAGAACAGAAGTTATGTTTTTTATCCATTCTAAAGAAGAGTCACTGGACTCGAAATGTTAACTCTGAATTCTGTCCACAGGTGCAAAACATAGTTTCTGTTTTGTCTCCGAGATAGTGGGAACTGCAGATGCTGGAGAATCTGAGATTTCTGAAGAAGGGTCTAGGCCTGAAACGTCAGCCTTCCTGCTCCTCTGATGCTGCTTGGCCTGTGTGTTCATCCAGCTCTACACCTTGTTATCTCTATGCCATGAAGTAGAAGTGTTTTAAAACATTTTGGCTGCATTAGTTTGTTAATGGGAAAGCACCTTTTTTTTTAAGCTTGATACAATATTTACCTGTTAAGCAATGTTTAGTCTACACTGATTGT